TTGGTATTTCAGTACAGAAAAAATGAACACTAAAGAATGTTTAAAGGATTAAATAATTGCACTTATGTCATTTAGTAAGATAATGTTTGGAATTGCAATTCAGACTTCAATAATACATGGACCAAGAAATGCCAGTTATACCAGCTCAGAGGAGGCTGGTGCATTCAAAAATCACACTGATAACATCCCATAGATAATGAAAAAGACAAATAGGAAAATATGTTTATTTTGCTTTAGGATTACGCAAAGCTGATTGTGTTCCCATTTTCAAAAAAGGGGAAAAAAGGACCCAGGAAATTACAGACCTGTCAGCCTGACCTCAATATCTGGGAAGATTCTGGAAAAGATAATCAAACAACGAATCAGCGAACACCTACAGGCAAACAAAGTCATTACTAAAAGCCAACACAGGTTTGTAAAAACAGATCATGCCAGACAAATCTTATTGCATTCTTTGACCAAGTGACAAAATTAGTGGACCAGAGGAATGCTGTGGATATAATTTACTTGGACTTCAGTAAGGCATTTGACAAAGTAGACCACAACCTAATACTTGGGAAGATAGAAAAATGCGGGTTAGACAGCATCACCACTAGATGGATCCGTAGCTGGCTGACCAACCGTACTCAGCATGTGGTCCTCAATGGAATCGCATCTACATGGAGGGAAGTGTGTAGTGGGATGCCCCAGGGCTCTGTTCTGGGCCTAGTGCTCTTCAACATCTTCATCAACGATCTGGATGAGGGGATAGATGGGGAACTCATCAAATTTGCAGACGATACCAAGCTGGCAGGAATAGCCAACACTCCAGAAGACAGGCTTAGGATACAGGACAATCTGGACAGACTTGAACACTGGGTGCTATCTAACAAAATGAAATTCAATGGTGAAAAAAGTAAGGTTCTACATTTAGGCAAGAAAAACCAAATGTACAGGTATAGTATAGGGCAGCGGTTCTCAACCTGTGGGTCACGACCCCATTTGGGGTCAAACGACCATTTCACGGGGGTCGCCAAACAACGCAGTCCGCCATTTTTTCCCCTTTTCCTTAGCTGTGCCACTCCCTTTTATTCTATTGGCTTTTGAAATCCAATAGAATAGACTTTCTTCAATAGAGTCTAATTCTATTGGCTTTCAAAAGCCAATAGGAATTGTCCAGGCTGTCTCTGCCCTGCTGAGCCCGCCAAAAGTCCCATTCTGCAAATGGTGCTGCAAGTTGTCTGCAGCGAAGGCGAGCTGTCTGGAAGTTTCCACCCCTCCCTGCTGAGCAACTACTAAAAATGTAAGTAAAAGAGGGCCAGGGGTGGAGGTGGGAGGCCGGCAGGCGCAGGGAGAGTTGCTGGTGCCCGTGGGGCCCGGTGGGTGCCTTACCTCCCTTGGGATGGGCCAGCTGGTGGCCCAGCTGGTGGTCGGCCTGCTCCGTCTCTGCTGCTTGCCAGCTATGCCTCGGCTGGTGCAGGGGGCAGCACCACACATGCGCGGCGCTCCCGGGCAGGGAAAGTCCTCGACTTACAACCAGTTGGGTAGTCCTCAACTTACGACTGGTTGGGGGTCACGGCATTAAAAAGGTTGAGAACCACTGGTATAGGGTTTCCTGCCTGAGCAGGGGGTTGGACTAGATGACCTCCAAAATAGAATATGCAATTTAATAATTTGGCTCTGGGAAAGGAATGACAAAAGTTATATTTTATCTATTTACTTATATGCAGATTATAGTTTATATTGACATATGCAGATTATAAGTCATAAATCTGTTATGAGAAATGCTAGATTAGAAGAAATAGAAAATAGAATTAAGAGTGTTGGGGAAAACAATCTTGAAAATGCAGTTGATTTCATTTGAATAGAAGTAAAGAAGACTTAAAGAATTTCTTGGTGGAAATAAAAGAAGAGAATGCAAAAACCTACTGAGAGCTCAGTATCAAAAAGCAAAGAAATAAATGCCATATTAAGATTATGTCAACACCCCAATGCAGGCAGACCTGCAGTTGAAAACTTTATCCTCAAAAATTTAAAAGGATGATTGTAGCCAAGAAATACAGAAATGTTTGTTATTTTAGAAAAGGATTATGACAAATCTAGACAATATATTAGCATACAGAGACATCACATTTAATAACAGATCAATCTGTGGTTAAACCAATTGTTTTTATAGTTCTAACTATGATTGAAAACTGGATCATCAGAAAGGCTGAACAAAGAAAATTAGGTGTCTTGAATTGTAGTGCTGGAGCAATTGTTGAGAATCTTTTGGAATACAAGAAGAATAAATTATTCAATAATAGATGAAATAAAACCAGATTCTTCACTGGAAATATGAATACTAAAGCTGAAACTTAAACATTTTGGACACTTAATGCAAAGGCACAAAACATTAGAGAAGATTTTTTAAAAAAAACGTTCCTATCATACTTAGTATGCAGACAGAAGAAAAGGAGTATGAAAAGGGTAATGAAATCAAAAAGACAAAAAAAAAGAAAATTTACTGCCACAATATTCACTATCACGGTATCTTTTTATTTTTGCAATCATCTTTGCTTCTACCATGTCTGCACTATGCTTCTTAATTGCCTTTGAAAGCTTCACACTTTCTTTTCCTGAGTAGCTTATCAAATCTAATCCACCATGTTTTCTTCAGTTTTCCTCTTTCTCTTGATTCAAATGTAATCAAATCTTTATTATGGTCTAGTCCTGCCTCAAGCATGAAAGCTGGCTGAGTTTCTTTGGACCAATCGCTCTGTCCCAACCCTATCCACCTCACAGAGTTATTGTTGTGGAGAAAATAGGAGGAGAATGCTCTGTGTGTTTGATCCCTTGAGTTATTTATAAAAGTAAAAAGGTGGGGAATGAATGAATGAATGAATTTAATTAATTAATTAATTAAATCATAGATTATTTTTGCATTTAAGTCATATTCATTTAGTACCATTTATTCTTGAGCACCTACACCTCAGAAACTGATTCCCATTCTATTGAACTTATTTTTATGCTTACTTTCATACAACATATAACAACGTGGATAGAAGCATACTCTTAAACATAGCCATGGCTCAATAAAAATTTGTTATCTTCAATAATTACTGTGTACTACTTTGCAAATCGCAGTTGTATATCTCAAGTATATTCCATCTCTATTTACATTCTATCAAGTTCATCAGTTGGCTATAGCTTTTTGGCATTTATATATAATTTGCAATTGTTCATTAGGTTTTCTCTTGTAATCACAATTAACAGTATTGATGGTACATTTATGTTTATATCAATACCCTTTGTCTTATCATATTATAACAACGGTACTATATAACATAATATAATTTTATATAACATTTGATGCAAATAATTGTTTCTCAGCCAATAACATGGTATCAGCTATAGACAAAAAGTATATACATATCCATATCCCTAACTAACTCACTTTTGAGTTTATCATAAGAATTCCTTGTACATTTGTGCCTAAACATAACCAACATAGTAAACAACAAGGGAATATTACACATTTTTACTTTTCTGCTCAGTGTTGAACTGTTCACTAAGCACTTAATTTATTCTCATGCATGCTCTGCACTACACATTTATATACTGCTGTTATCCCATTCACCAACTTTCAACTCCAGATTCATGCAGAACTTTCCATAAACCAATTCTATTTGTTTTATATTTAGTTTTTTTTTAAATCAACAAACTTACAATAAATTTTCTTCTTCATAGTAACACTTCCTCAGTGTTACTGCAAAAAATCCACTTGGCAAACCCCCTGCCTGACCAGAAAATCTATTCCAAAATTCTGATCACTATCATCTCATGAACTCTTGTCAGAAGAATCCTGCCAAAGGCCCTCCCAGGTGCAATGAACAAAGTATAATTTTTGCATTCAGTTTTGCTACCATTCCACTTGAATGTTGAAACAATAATGGCACCTTTCCAATTGTCAGGTGTGCATGCAATTGTCACTCTCATATCAAGATAACCACTCTATAAGCAAATCATATCTGACATGCATCTTTTAACATTTTTGCAGGTACATTTTAAGCCTTACCATTTTTCAGTACTCTGGTAGTAATTAAGACTTCTTTAAATAAATACTTATTGGACAAAGCATTTATTGCATTTGTTTCAATTTTTGACATATCACCATCATTCCTACATTGATCTTTAAAGTGCTGTTCCAGCATTTTACCCCACTGACTTTCATTCATTATTTTTATTCACAGTCACTCTGTTGGAGGTTTCTTGTTTAGCATTCTTACTACTACAAATACCATATTTTTATATCCTTCAAATTGCTCTGTGCTTATTTTCCTTCTGTTATTGGTCTGTATTCTCTTGGACTGTATTCTTTGCAACTAAACTTTTATCTTTATATGTCTTGTATATTATCTACTCATACTGCTATATTTGCCTTAAATTTTCATTCATTCAATTCATACTCTCTATCACTTACCCTATTTTTATTACAAGTTGCAAATTCCATATGTGATAACCATCACTAAAAGGATTTGTAAAGATTGATTTTCATTGCCCATCGCCCATCATGACTTTCAGGGTTCTGTGCAGAATTTTAGCAGTTCCTAACACTGCACTTTTCTAGACAGAGACCTTTGATGTTTCTGGATGTGTTGGAGCCACTCTCCCAGCTTAGGCATAACAGCCCTAAGTGCTCCTACCACCAATGGGATCATTTTGGTGATTATGTTCCATATCATTTCTAGTTCCTAGTTCCTCCTTCAGGCTGTAGTATTTCTTCAGATTCTCCTTCTTCCTGATGTTGATGTTACTTAGTATCACTTCATCCATTACCACCTCTGCCTTCTGGTCCTTGTCTAGTACCACAATGTCTGGTTGATTGGCCAGTCCCTCTTTGTCTGTCTGTATCTAGAAGTCCCACAGGATCTTAGCCCTGTTACTCTCCTGACCTTGGATGAAAGGATGGATGGATTGATGGATAGATGTGTGTGTATGTGTGTGTATACAGAGAAAGAAAAACACAATAGAAAAACTAGTGATATTGGCACAAGTGCAACCAAAGTTTATTTTACACCAAGCATGTCAATGAAATATAGGATTTTTAATCTAAAGACTATCTTGCAAGCCAACATATTGTTCCACATTTCCTGCTAACTAGGAAATATGAGCAGCATAATCACAAAAATAATTAAAAGTCATCTCAAGGTCCTGTTCTAACAACATTTAATAATCTGTCTTTGCAGGATTCTGGATGAATTCATTTTATGAAATATTTATGGACTCTTATTTCTAACAGAACATTTTATATGCTTTTTTTTCCAAATTGTCCTCTGACCCCAACATTGAATACATTAGTACATTAGAAATAAATCACTAGACCAGTGGTTCCCAACCTTTTCTATACCCCACACCCCTAGAACACTTCTGATATATTCTCATAACTCTTACAAAAGTTCAAAATAACAGCAACAAATTATGCATATACACTATAATTTTGAAAACTCAAGTTTTTGCATCCCCTGGAATATCATCTCGCACCCCCAGGGGGTGCGAGCACCCCTGGTTGGGAACCCCTGCACTAGACCAAATGTTATTTGCTATCTTACTAATATGTACAGACATATCACTTTAAATAGTATGAGTTTTGTTTATTGAATATGGTAGAACCACCTTACTGAAACTACATAATGATCTTGTCTCAATGGGACATTTTCTGGCAATACTGTTTTCCATAGAAGGAACATATAAATGAAATAAAATAATGAGTATTAGCTGTAGTTTTCACCCGTCTTCATTCACAGGTACATGTCTAATAGGCAATATTGGATCACATCTACCTTTCTTTCTGATTGTAGTAGCAATTCCTCCTGTTTAGCATATAATAACTTCTTTCTTAGCTATAGGTTGTTACTTCAAGTTATGTTATCTATGTCTTGAGCTGGGCTGCTACATTAGTTACAGTGTGATTCCCCCACTGTGCCATATATTAAAAAAAGAAGACTTAATATGTGTTTCAAATACAGTTGATTGCTGGCATTTTAAGACAGAAATGTGTGAACTACCTGAACAATTGGTTAATCTACAGATTCTAAACTTTGATCTAGTTCTTTGATTTAGCCCTGCAATTAAGAAGATTTGGTTCAAAGCAAAAGCTCATTGGTTGATGTTTTACACTGATGTGATAATGTTTACACAGATGTGCTTTGAAAGCTTGATTATGGAGGATTTTTTGGGTCCAGCCACATGACAAGCTGTTGTTGTTTGAAAGCTAAACTTATGTAATGTCTATCTGCAATCATTTTCCAAGAAGTCTGCCAGCTTTCTCTCTGCCTTTCGAAGTGATTTATCTGATCATTGTGTTCAATGTTATTTTCATTTTGAGGTTTTAAATCCCTCCATAATAAATCACTTACTTTCAACAATCTTTTTTTTAATCACTCAGGTGCACATAGGGCAGTATTTAGGACTGCTGTGATGAAAAGGTGTTTCATTACTTGCTTTAAGCCACCTGCCAATTAATTAGCCCCAAACTCTATCCAGCAAATAAAAGGAGAGCAGCCAAATCCATTTGATCTCTCAGATTTACATGGTGACACATGGAAGAAGACTTATAAAAAGAAAAACACTGCCTTGTTCTACTTTATTGCTTTATAGCTTTTTTTTTCATTGTTAGAAATTTAAACAAAAAGTATAAACCCATTGAGTAATTCTTTCCCTTCTGAATTATCTTCAGGGAGAATGTTATTTAGATAATATACTATGCATGAATGTGGGGAGAATACATAGTAGCATATTAATATAATTGGGGTGTTACATTCATAACAGTCAAGCTATGTGTTCATTAATATGGTTCAATGAACTCAAGACTCTAGCTGTATTAAATTAAAATTCAATAGATATTCATAGTTTTCTGTTTTTAAAAAACGAATCAGTAGTAAAAACAGGTGATATTTTCTAAATAAACCTGGTTAGAACCTCATAATATGGTGTGCAATCTAACTTCTATTTATTAAGTAGATTCTCCCTCTTACACCATCTGCTATTCAATTTCATTTGCCTATATATAAGTCTAGCAACCTTGTCAATTTCATCTTAAGTGGACAGTGCTTTCAAATTCTATTAATATCAGAACCAAGATTTCTCATTTCTGTAATTTGATACACTGCTCTTCAGCTTACAATCTCTTCAAAATGAATTGATATTTGAGGTAAACAATTAAACAAATCATAAAAGAATAGTAAGTAGCAGTATCAGCTTGGGGCAAAAATTCAACTAATATCTAAAAGATATGACCAAAGAAAGGCTTTCAGTTGATGCCAAAATGTTGCCAAAAGCAGCGATCCAAAATATAGTTGCTTGGAAGGAAATCCACTTATCTTGGTGGAACTTGTTTCTAAGTAGACACATTCAGCGATACTGACACAGCTCTAGAGGAGCCACCACTAAAGCCATCTATCTCTCTTGGCTATTTAGTTACAGTGCTTGACTATTATAAGGGTTAGAGTTGTGTGAGGCCTTAACACACTGACCAGTGCAAGTGGCAGAAGATGTTTCTTAATAATCATAATCAGTTTTTATTTATTTGAAAATAATTATTCAGTATTAAACATATATCTATATCTACTGTATATCTATATCCCCTATATTATTTTGTATTCAACTATTGTAGACGTGTGGTTCTTGAATAAATAAAACATATTTAAAGGCTTTGGAGGCATGGAAGAGGAAAAGAATTACAGAGAAGAGAGTTATAAGATGCAAGTTTCCAACTATGTGATTGCTATCATAGAGGTCCCAGCAAGATATCAATTTGGAACTCAGAGAAAGATCAGAGATGGAAAGTATTTTGGAAGACAAAACTAGGTCTACATGACAGCTGCAGTTGCTGCACACCAATCAAAAGCAAAATACTTTGATATTTTCCAATCAAAAGCAAAATATTTTGGCTCCTGGGAAGTGGCAGTGAAAGAGGGCTATTGACTGCACAGTCCAAGCTTGTAATCCAGTTGGCCACTCTGTGATTCCGAGTGCTGAACAGACATATGCCCCAATCCAGCAAAATTCTTGTTCCATATCATCACCATTGCTTATGCCTCCTTAAAATAGACCATAAAGCATTTTGGGGGAAAATAAAGCATTTTTCCCCAAAAGAAATTTCACTGGAGTAATTTTTGCCAGGAATTTTGCCAACTGTGGAACAAAAGATTGACACTTATTTCAACCCCACTTGATAAATCATAATCACTTCCACCAAACTGCTGTTTGAGTTATCTAAACATGCATGTTAAAACATGCATCTTTAACAAAATTTTCAGATTGTCTTTCTTCTTCCAGTACTTGATTACTCTTTCTTTCTTTTTCTTTTTGTAGTTCATTAGAGCTCTTTTATAGTATAATACAAAACAGTATGTCCTATAATATCCATCTAATGGTTACATAGAGATCTTTAAAATCCAGAATGCATATAATATAGGGTGCAAACTAAGAAGTATACATTTTATACCACCTCCCAATTTTTAACAGAGATCAAAGAGTTCATATAAGAGGAAAACATATTTTAGAAGCACAAACTATTTTCTTCCAATGTTTTTCACATTTCTAGTACTTTATGGAAAAAATAATAGATCTTAGTCTAAAAATATACTCCAGATGGAACATTACTGCCCAAGAACTATAGGATAGTTGAAATGAGATGGCAAATCCATGTTTTCAAAGAAAAACCAGCAGTTTAAAGTTCTGATGAAAGAAAGCAATTAGAAGATACTTCATTGGTTTGTTTATATTTAATACATCACAGCAAAAGTGAAGATATACTGCAGTCTTATACTACTTACCTCAGACTGAATTTCTAGGCGGATGCCCATATGAGGCTAGACTGGGAAGTAAAAAACACATTCAAAAGGAGGCAAAGACAGACCGCTTCTGTGCTTTTGCCAAGAAAGCTTCCTGTTTCTGTGCATGAAGACAGCAAGAGTCAAGTTTAATTTGAAGATTTTATCATTATCTTTTTTGCTATGAAATGCAATGGGCTGGAGTCTTAATAATAAGCTCTTGAGCTTCCTGAGACTTACCTCTAAGTAAACAGGCTTAGAATTCCCCTTTAAGTAGCATGTATGCATTCAGCTCTGAGTCCCTAGGGATAAATGAAAAAACAAACAAACAACTGGCCAGCTTCTGCCTTTCCTCCTCACGTGGAGTGCAGAGTAAAGAAAATCGCACCCCAATTATGTTACGTGGTGAAAGAAATGTGCATGTTCAGCTGAGAACCCAGCTTGCAGTATTTCAGATCATATATGGTCATGTTCTAATTACTTATCCTGCTATTCAACATGTGCTGGATGCCTACCTCATACCTTTCTAGAAAAATAGGATAATTGAATTAACCAAGATTGGGTCTGTCAAGACTGAACATTAATACCCCCCCCCAGTAATAATAAGATATGGTGAAAATTTAAAGGTTTTTTGCCTGACTCAATATTGACTCCTGGTAACTACTGGTATGTGATCAAGTTTGCACAGTTTTCTAGTCTTCTTCCTAGGCTGAGAAAGAATCAAGGTCACTCAGTTGGATTGAAACCTCAAGTAGGAACAGATTTCTCTATTCTCTATCATCTGAAGCATGAGATCAAACTCGATCCATTAGCATATTACTGATTCTTAATGCTAGGTCCTTACTAAGATCTATGCCTACATTCATGTTTGGTCCAGGAGTTACCTGAAGTCTTAATGACAGTGGCATTTTTTTTGGCAGATTCCACATACATTGCCAAAAAAAAGGGCAGAAATGTTTCCACTGTCAACCAGCTCCCTAGCAGAGACCTTGATGCCAACATAGACAAAGGATTATTATTTGTCCCTGATGAAAATGAGGACATTTACAGTTTAGCCACAACTCACAGTGGTTATTTTCCCCCTCCAATATCTTTTTAAAATTTTTCCTGCAGCCCCTTTCAAAGTCTTGAAAGCTTTCCAAGCATTCCTCAGTTTCTCTTCTGGTGTCTTTGTATTGCTAAGGTCTAATATTGTTAAACACCTAAACAACACCCAGAGGCTATTGTTAGGGCCTCTGTTAGACCAAGCAGAGAAAAACCTATCCTTTAAGAAAAGGGGAAATCCCGACTGACTATGCCAATTCGCTTGGGAAAAAAAAAATCCCCCCCTCTCTTTTTGGTGGGGAAGAAAAGGCAATAAGATAAAAGGCAAGGGTAATACATGTAACACTTTTATGAGTGTTCTGAAAAATCGAGCAGTCGACCTGTTAGATCTTTTTGCTTTCTTCCCCCCTCTTTCTCAACCCCCGCCCCCCCTTCCCTCTTTTCATGTGTGTCTCAGCAGGCCTAACCCTCCGGTAACGCCCTTTCTCCTTCTTACCTTTCCCTGCACCTGTCCACGTAATACGCGGCAAGCTTCCAGGGTCCTCCCCCCCCCACCTTTACCAAACGGGGCTCCTGCTGCTGCTGCTGCTGCTGCTCACGATTCATCCGCGGCGAGAAGCTTCAACATCAAAAAGGAGCCTGGCGGAGGGGAGCGAGCGACGGCATCCTTTTTTGCATCGTCGACAACAAACCGGGTGGGGAGGGAGGGAAGGAGAGAGGGAGAGGCGTGTTTCCAAGGCTAAATTGGAAGCCGATTAGGCGCGCAAGAGAGAGGAGGGAGGGAGGGAGGGAGGCCGGCCGGGGCACCTTCGGAAGTCCCCTTCGTCAGGAGGGAAAAGGTGTGAGGAGGGGAAAGCAGCTCGGTTTAAGATTTCAAACGCCTCAGCTTCCCGGCGCGCTTCAGCTTCAGTGCTATTAGCATAGGTCAGGGGGGAAAACCTGCCCCGCGCATATATATAGCGAGAGATTCCCCCACGCGCGCTGTTGTGGCACTTTCGAGCGGCCTCGCTTGGATCGCAGCGGTTTCCCCAAAGACAGCCGGAGCCGGTGGCGCTACCACCACCAGCAGCAGCAGCAGCGGCAGCAGCGGAAAATTGGGTACCGCCGGCCGTCCCACCTGCAGCGGCTGTCGATGTTGAGGCCAAGCCCAGCCCAGCCTCCCCGCCAGCCCCATGTCCGGGGAGAGGACAGATTCTCAGGACAGGCAGTTGCTCTCTTGACGCCAAGTCCGCCTTGCCTGCCTGACCCTTTCCAGCGCCGACTCTGAGCCCCGAGATCGGACTCTGCAAGGGACTCCCTCTCGCTCGCTGCTCCTCTCCTGCCCGCTCCTTCTCCTGTCTCGGCAGCCCTCCAGCTGAGCTTCTCCATGGCCCCCTTAGCCGAAGTGGGGGGTTTCTTAAGTGGCCTGGAGGGGATGAGCCAGCAGGTGGGCTCCCATTTCCTTCTACCTCCCTCCGGGGAGAGGCCGCCCCTACTAGGGGATCGCCTGACCCAAGCTGAGGGTGGATCCCGAGGGGGTGTTGCGGCTGGGGCCACGGATTTAGCCCACCTGCAAGGCATCCTACGCCGAAGACAGCTGTATTGCAGGACTGGCTTCCACCTGCAGATCCTGCCCGACGGCAGCGTTCAAGGCACTAGGCAAGACCACAGCCTCTTCGGTAAGGCCCTTCCTTCCTTCCTTTCTTCCTTCCTTCCTTCCTTCCTTCTGCTCTCTTCTGCAGCTTCTTCCCTTGTGACGGAAACATCCTATAGCAACAGATGGTATAGCAACGGATCTCAGGCAGTGGATGATTAAAAACACACCCGCTTGCATGAGCAACATCTTGATCTGGGTTAACATTGTTGTAACGGGCTAATAGCAAAGTGGAGTGTTGGGGACAGCAGCCTTCCCCATACATAAAACAGGCAGAAGGTAGAGAGATCAGTTTAGAAAAAAAAAGTGGCGTTCTGTTTGCAAAGCTGTATTTCAAGTAATACAATGAACAAACTGGTGGGAAAAGGCCCTGGAATATGCCTGTGAGCATGAACAGAATGCCTTTTCAACATCCCTATGGACTGCTTAACACACAATGCCTACTGGAGTGTGAGAAATCCATCTATGTAGGTAATGATGCTTGGAATTACAGGCTGTCCCATGCAGCAAGTGCCTAAACTATTTCCTGTGTGGCTTGACAACCGTAACTGACAAGCATAGCATCCAGCTTTTAAGACACTTAATACATCAATGTACAGAGATAGCATTTTATTTGTGATGTGGAAGAGTTTCCCATATGGGAAGTATGATATTATTTGATGTGAAGAATGGTTTCTAATCAAAGGATACCAATATCAGGATTTTTCATTTTCAAAATCAGTCTCTCATGTTTATAAGTCACATGTGTGCTAAAAGCAAGCTGTGAGTGTATATACCTGCAGAACTATTACAGATATAATTGTAATTCATATAAACTCAGATACATTGCTGTGACTGAGAGCTGTGCCAGGTTAAGTCTTTCTAACTTTTCCAGTATTTCTTTTTTAAAGAAAAGTAATTGCATGTTTTGCTATATATAGTTGTTTACAATGCACTCCAGTCTCTTTGCATGGGTATTAGTCCTTTGGTATTCCAGTGGGAATTGTGCATAAGGAAATGCATGCAGGATTCCACAAGAACATGCAACTGAATTTAACTTAGTCTGCATAGAAGACAGAAGACATCACACTGTCCAAAGATAGAGAATATGACTCTGTGAATCCAATGTAAAACAGGTGTTAGATTGTACATGCTGCAAGTATCTCTGATACCATAGTATTCAAAATCTAACTAAATCTCTGCAATGTATTGGACTAGTTTGCTTATAATTTTATTTATGAACTATAAGGGATTTTAATAATGAAAGAGGTTGCTAGAAGTGTAAGGGAGGACAAACAAATGAGTGTTGAAGAGAAAGTATTCTCTGAAGAAACCTACCACTACTGAGTAGTTGGTCCACAAATATTTACAAAATGTATTATTACTAGTATTAAGTGCAGCTGATAATTCTTACTACTTCCAACAATCTGCCCTAAGAGATCTTAACTGATAAACAGGAGTTTTGTTTCAACTTCAGTTCAACCAAAATTTCAGTACAGAAGAGAAGCTTCTTAGAGCATATAAACATGGAGTAATTGCAAAGAAAAAAGAAAAAAAACTGAAAAATGTTTCAGATTGAGATCAAACATTCTTGAGGCTTCTTTATTCTATCACTATTCTCAATAGCTTTGACTGATGTGGTTTCTTTGTTGGTTAAATCACCTGCTTATTATGATTTGGGGAGGAAAAACGTGTCTTTGAAAATGATATCAGAAAGACAGAATACCTCCCATATCTTTCAATGGAACTTTGAATATTGGGAACTCCAGAATCTCTGATGATTTATTGGCAGTGAAAAGATGGAGTATGCAGTCTTTATAAAATAGTAAATATCTGATCTTTGCAAAAGATTTGGCTGCCCCGTAACAGCAATAAGACATCCCAAGTCTCAAACAATTTTTTCAATTAAACTCCAAAGGCTGAAAATTATAAAAAATAATTAGCTTTCCTTAGAGAAAAAATAATTCAGAAAATAGAAGATTGTTGAAAAACTTAGGTGTCCAAAACCCTAAGCACATGGCATTATATATATATATATATATATATGCTATCCAACACTTTTCTTTCTAACAATCCAAATATTTGAACACTGGTATTGTTTAACACAGAATGGCACAACCAACCAACGTTGCCTTGTAACTCCTGTGTATTGCAGCTGGAGAGATTTAAGGACAACTTAGCTCTTTCACTGAAATCAATGAGATGTTAACAATGCTCATTTTTATTGGGTCAACACCAATATATATCACAGTGTTGCATTACTATGAAGAGCACTTTGATAATACCATTCTGTATACTGTATAATCAATCAATTTAGAATTAATAACATTTAATTACACATCTATTTCTATTTAATCCACAAGACCTATCTGCACTGAATATAATTAGCCTTAAAAATATTTTTTTCCCTTTTCTCAATGCAGGTATTCTTGAATTCATCAGTGTGGCAGTGGGATTAGTCAGTATTCGAGGAGTGGACAGTGGCCTTTACCTTGGAATGAATGAGAAAGGAGAGCTTTATGGCTCTGTAAGTATTACTGCCATATCATCCAGCTCGTATTACAGACTCACATTAGCAGTAATCTTTATAATCCTGGGAATTTTGTCACTGGTAACAATATAAGAGGGATAGCAGCCTTGAAGTGGCTACTTAGCGTAAGAAAAATAGTACTCAATGGATTAATACAAAGTGAGAATTATCTGGAATAAGCTGCACCACTAATACTACAGTGTCATGTTTAGATAACGTAAGATGTTAAGTGAATCACTCGAAATTACCTATGTTGCACCAATGCAAAGACAATAACTTCATAGGAAGCTGTCTTGTAGAGTTGTTCCATGGGTCCATCTAGTTCAAAAGCACTCTCTCACTGAAACTCTAGGTTCTGGAGCATGGGGGGGGGCTATTTAATTCAGTTCCAGGAAAAGTAGTTTTCTTTTTGCATCTTTATGTGTTTGTGAGAGTTTTCTAAAACCTGGTTGACAAAATTAGGTGCAATTCTCAGCCAGTCCATGATGGGAAACAAAAGCAAATATAAGTAGTCCTTGACTTATGACAGTTCATTTAGTGACTGTTCAAAGTTACAGTGGCATTGAAAAAAATTGACTTATGACTGGTTTTCACACTTATGACCATTGCAGCATCCCCATGGTCACATGATCAAAACTCAGACAAGCAAAGTCAATGTGGAAGCCATGTAGGGACATTTAAAACATACAAGATGAATATTGGTTTTTTTCTTTTCATAAACAAAACTGTGGACTGTTTTTATAGTTCTTTCTTTTATAGTCTGTTCTTTGTAGTACTTCCTTGAAGGATCAAATGGCCAAACACTAGCCCTTAATCACTTGATCATTCCAGGTAGTGGTGCAAAAAAGAAACAGCATTTACAAAAGTCCTATTATCATATAGGGAATTTTTAAAATAAAAAGACAAGACTAATATAAGGCAGTCCTCAGCTTACATCCATATGTTCAATGACCATTCGAAATTACAATGTCACTAAAAATGCCTTATGACTGTTTTACACGCTTATGACCATTACGATATCCCCATAGTCACATGATCAAAATTCAGACACTTGGTAACTGATTCATATTTATGACAGTTGCACTGTCCAGGGGTCATGTGATAATCTTTTATGACCTTCTGACAAGCAAAGTCAATGGGGAAGCCAGATTCACTTAACAACCATATTACTAACTTAACAACTGCACTGATTCACTTAACAACCGAGGCAAGAAAGGTTGTAAAATGGAGCAAAATTCACTTAACAACTGTCTCACTTAGCAACAGAAATTTTGGGCTCATCAAGGACTACCTGTAGACAGCTGAAAATCAACAACTGTGGCCTTCAGATGCAAAAAAACAGTGCTAACCACACCTTTTAATAAAGGAATGCATTTGCCACTTGGCAAAGGGACTCAACAACATCTGCAGGAAAAGCATATTCTCTTCTGAATTATTCCCCCTTCTAAAATGGCAAATAAGTTCTGCTAATTATTGTCCTCATTCCTGCAGCATTGTATCCAATATGGGATGTGCTTATCAGTCTATAAAAGAGGAGACAACATGACAAGTAGTATGGCCTGTCAATTCAAACTAACATGAGAAGCTAGGGGTGTCTCCAGGATGTGATAAAAAAAAAAATGTCAGAATGGAGGCTGTGATGGTGTAATTGAAATTCTGCCTGTTTTTGAGGTGGAGATGCCTAAAAAACAGGTGAAGCTTCAATCACACCTAGGGGGCTACCATCTTGATTTTTTTTTAAGTAGATATCCCTGCTAGAAGCTGCTGTAATACTCAGAGATTTCCCAGAAGGGAGGTAGAAATTTCTTAGCAAAGAGAGGCTAGTACAGTATAACCCCAGGATAGCAGATATAATTAGTGGCTCAGATGTGAGATTTGGAAAGGTGAGAGCTAAGTTGAAGGCCTCATTGAATAACTTTGGGACCATCATTACTGTGAGGAATACAATTAAGAATTTCCCAGGTAAGCTTCCTTTTCAGAGAAAAGGCAGGTTTGAGATGCAGTTGTAAAACAAAACATAAGGAGAAGAAGAATTAAACGTGTAAAGTTTGTTCTAGTGCAGTGTTTCCCAAACTTGACAATTTTAAGGCATGTGGACTTCAGCTCCCAGAATTCCACAGCCAGCATTGCTGGCTGTGGAATTCTGGGAGTTGAAGTCCTCATGCCTTAAAATTGTCAAGTTTGGGAAACACTGTTCTAGTGTATGGAATAACGTGAAGCAAAACTTGTTTGGGAAGTATTATGTGCATATTAAAAATGTTGTAGGTTTTGAGGTTCTAACTAGAGACAGCAGGGGAAAAAAGAACATGAGCATTTCTAGTCCAGAAGACTAAAAGATGTCCATAGTTGTATATCTGCTAATATTTCAGTGCAAGCATCAGCCTTATAACGCAAGTTGTGACCTAGGTTCATTGACTTTTGCTTGTGGAAATGAAAAAGAAAGCAGAAAGAGAGGATACTATGCAGTATAATAAATGGAGAAATGTAGGGATTGTTGTACAGGCAGGCAAAGCTTTAAGACAGGCTGTATTCCTTACTGATAAAAAAAAAAATCCTCTGCAGAATCAAATA